CTGTTTCGGAATTTATGCCCTGTCTTGTTACTCTCACTTCTGCGCTCGTTATCCCACAACCTGTCATTGGTGAAAAATATCTAAGTGTTACGAATCTTACTCCGCAATGTAAGGGAAATTATGTGGGATGTGAGTGGGTGGTGACCTACCTATACACAGGGCATACCCCGTGACCCCTCTGACCCCGTCCCGCCCTGCTCCTTTTCCCTCCCACATCGCCCACGCTTTCCCAACGACCTCGCCCTCGCGATCTCTCAGACTCATCCCATTTCCAGGTAACGAACCATCCCCAGCGCCCTCCCATTCTCTACCCCAGCGCCCTCCCATTCTCTCCGCCCATCGCATTGCACCTGTCTCACCTCCCCTCCCTCTTACCACTTATTCCCTCTCTCCCCCCATCCCCATCTCTCCACCCATCGCCCGTCATTTTCTCCCCCTCCTCTCTCCTCTTTTATCTTCTCATTCACGCAACTCCCATCCTCATCTACACTTCAAACCTTACTCCCGCACGCAACGTGAGGCTGTATCGTTCATGGATCGCGAAACCAGAAAGATCTTCCACTACAAAAACGCCAAAAGGGAGAGGGACGGACGTAACTCAGTGGGGCTCGAGAAGATTGCTTTTGACGTCGGTATGGATGAGCTTGCTGCAAGTGGATTTCAGGTGGAGGGAATTGTCACGGACGATGGCAACTGTTACAAAAGTGCTGCGCGGGACAGGGGCTTGATGCATCAGATGGACTGGTGGCATAAGTGTGGTGGCTACATACGGGGTTTTAGGACAGAGGTACAGGACGCAACGAGGAAAGTGGGATCTGTAGTGGGGGCCAAATGTTGTGAAGATGTGTACGTTATCACAGTAGATAATCTATTGGCCTGGTTAAATGACAACTCCAGCGAGCGCTTTCATAAGGGGATGGGGAAGAAGAAGCTTGTACAGGATGTGTGCGCTAAGCGTGGAATAGCATTCAAGGACATGGACCCTTCAGATGCCAAGTGGTTGCATCTTGAGCTACAACAAGTGCTGCTGCCTCGTGTTAGTCCCGATGCACAACCGATCGACATAGAAGTGCACAGGGGGTCTATCCCAGACTCAGTGAGTCGAGGTCGTTCGAGCAGTGGTGAGGCTATTCATTTTGCTGGGACAGAGGAGGTTCTCCCTGACGGGGCAATCGCAGTCAATATACAATGGCCGGATGTAGAGGAGCTGTGGAGTTACGATGCACACCCAGAATATGGGATACGCCCTGCCTCGCATGCATCATTGGTACTTGTACAGGCGTGGAACGGGGTTGAGCGCATCGACATAGAAGTCGCACATGACGATCAAGGTAATGATGCTCCTGTGTGTGGACTATATCACTTCTCCCAACCCGCCCCCTTTTTATCCCCCCTTTTGCTACTCGACATCTCATGCCCCGAAACACTCTTTTTATCCCCCTTTTGCTATTCATTTTCAGTGCTCCCAATTCTCATTCCCTTTATTCCATCACACTCTACCCGACTCCATTGTTTGGGAAAGCCCTTCAGACTCTCACTTACTGTTTTGCAAACATGCCTCATCTCATTTTTTGTAAACCCCTGCTACTATGCCCTGACGCAGGGCATGCTCTGTTTCCGTTCTTCCCACAATTCTGTGAGCAGGTCAGCAAGCGAGGGCCCTGTCAGAGGTGTTGCCCATCAGTGCAAGGGTTGCCACACCCTCGACATCCAGGGTTGGCGAGGGTGTCAACGTGGAGTCAGCTGCGACAGTGGGGAGCCATAGAGGTGGGGACGGCGTGCTCCACGATCACGATTACGGCAAGAGGAGGGTGGCGGGAGCAATGGTGATGGTGAGGTACAGGTGAGAGGGAAGGGGGTTAGCGTTGTCGACAGACTTGCCGTGGACTTATATCATTGCATGGTGCGTAGCGGGGTGATGGCTAAAGAGGGGAACACACGGTCGCCTGAGAATGTGTCAGCTGAGTTGTGTCTTGCAGCAGATCACTTTGCAGGAGATCATTCTCGATGCGACAGAGGCGGGACATGTGCACCGAGGTGTGTGACGGAGAATCGGGGTGCGGAGTCTGCTGTATATTTGCCAAACTCTCCGACACATCTAGCCGTGCGCGCGTGGATGGCGAGACACTGGCCTCCATCCAAGGTTGCCTGCATTGTCGAGGGCGCAACCACCTCAATGAATGAGTCGTTTCATTCGCTCATAATCAAATACGCACCAAAACGCATTCGATTCGACGTGAGTTATGAGCCGCGAGTTGCCATGGCTGCTCTCCATTGGAACCACACTATGGATCGTATTGTGCGTGCATATATCATCCGTGCGCGGCGTACTACACGAATAAGACGTGGGCGGAGGGATCGAGTGCTTGGTCCTATGGATTGGAGTTGGGTTGACAGCATCCTGAGAGAGTGGAGGCGCCCCTGGACAGAATCTCCCGAACCTGATGAGGAGTCCGCCAACATTGGTGGGGCTCCAGTGACTCGGGAGATGGACAGGGCGGCACCAGCTGTTGTGGCTGAGGCATCTGTTGGTCCTACACCCAACACAACAAGCACCAACATTCGCGGTCCTCGCCGCAATTTATTCGGTGAGCATAATATGTGTGGGACAAATGAGTACAAGTCATTTCCATTACCGGCCTTGCTAATCTTTTGTGACAAATGCGCAATTCTCATTACTGTGTTCCTTGTGGCTCTTCCATCGCATACGCATTCTAATACACAAGGTGACTTGACCAACACACGCTGAGGTTTGATGGCAACAGCGGATGCTCACAAGATGCGCACCCATTGTTGTAGTACGTGGTACTAACGGGCTTTTACCCTGCCGCCCTCACCTACGCATTATTGTAAACCTATGTCCACCCCTCGACCTGTGCTTATCTCTTCCTCTGCTATCTCCCTCACCTTTGCACACTGTCTTCCCCCCTCCTCTCTCTCTTCTCCCATCTCACTCTCTTACCCCTGCACCTTGAGTTTCGGATTGCAGCCCTGCTCCCCTGTACCCTTCATATTTTCCCCAGCCTCCTCTACTCTCGACTCCACCTGTCCTTACGTTACCACTAGCCCCCCTGCTTTATTTGCCTTACTCCCGTTTCCCAAAACTGTGTTCCCACACCCTTCCAAATTCGTGTCGTAATTCCGCCCTTGTTCCGATGTTCTCATTGCCAACCCCTCTTATCAACCGCAGTTACAGGCATGTATGACCAAGCCATTTATGTCTAATGATCGTGGACAAACTCGGCAAATACAGACGGAATGGCTTGGACATACAATTCCTCATTCGTCTTTGCAACTCCTCATACTTTTGGTACGTGGCACTAACGTTTCTTCCCTCTGTCACCCTAGCCGTTTCAACAACTGCCCGCCCCGGAGGCGCTACCAGTGGGCTTACTGGTTCTCGTGCCCACTCCCCTCTCTTCCCCTCTTCCCTCTTATCCTCTCTTCACCCTTCTACCCCTTCCCCTATAATAGCCCCTCTCCTTTCGTGCAGTACCCTTTATCAACCACCAGTCGGGTTGCTGCGAGCGGACAACAACTGTCCAATTTCATATCTCTACACCTCCCTCACTTCCCCTCCCCGCTCTTCCCTCTAGTCGTAGTACTCACTCCCGCCCCCAGTCAGGTTGCTGCGAGCGAACAACTGCCTGCTCTAAAGGCACTACCAGTGGGCTTACTGCACCTCTTGCCCTCTCTTCTCTCCTTCTCTCCTCCTATCTCCTACCCCTCCACCTCTCCCCCACTGCAGAACTCACTCCAGCCACCGGTGGGCTTGCTAAGAGCGGACAACAATTGCCCACCCTGGAGGCAGGACTTACGAGAGGTGCGTTGGTGCGCTTCTTCTTGCCCTTGCTCCTCCTCTTTTCCTTACGGGAGGTGCGTGCGTGACTTTTGAGTACTTACGTCAATACGTGTTCGAAGAAACATGTGGGGTTTGCAGTGGGCGGACAACTTACTCTGCTGCTACATCTGTCGCCCATCTCCTTGTAACAATTCTCCAGTTCACCTTGATTTCTTGGCCTCCCCCTTGTTGACCTCCGAATTTGACACGTTTTTCCTCCCCCGCTGCTCCTCCCTACAGCATCTTGGAGGCAGTCAAAACTCCGGGCTTACAGTGCTTAGCTTTCTCTACTTCCAACAACACCCTCTTCCACCCTACTCACTCTGTTACCCCCAGCTCACTCTCCCCCACTTGCTTATCTCTCTCACCACAAAGTTATGTTTCTCCCTTGCAACTCTGCTTCTCCTATCCCCCCACTTCATCCTCCCCCATTTTCCCATCTATTCCTTCAGGTCTCACGCTTTATATCGCATGCTTCCATTCACTACATTCCCGCATTCCCACACGGAGATAGCGAAAGAAATTTTCCCGTCCACCTTTTTGTTCGTATTGTTTTCCGTTTTGCCCTATCACTCATATTCCACCGCAGTTACAGGCTTGTATGACCAAGCCATTTACAATGTCTATTGACGTAGTACGGGCACTTCCAGTACAGACAAAATGGCTTGGTCATTCAATTCCTCCACGTGTTTGCCATCCGCGAAGTGTGTATATCCGCGTGAGTGTGGCCCATTCATTCCTTTCTCGGAGTGTGTCCATGATCTAATGTTCTCAACCTAGAATAGTACGGTAATGTATATGATGTGTTGCCTCTCCTTCCAATGAAGATTAGTACGACAATGGTATTGTGCGCTATGTTTTGTGCCATCAAGACTCGTATTTTACGATTCAATCTTACAACCCTACGCCTTTCGGCATATTCGCGATACCCAATGGGTTCAATCAAGCTGTATTGCGAGAGGGACAACACACGAGCCAAGCGGGTATTCATGTTAGTGCGAAGATGAGGGAACATGCTAGCATAATATAACGATGGTCCACGAACGGATGTCTTGAACTCGAGTCGTTGCACAGCCACCTGGTGGTGAATGAGATGAGACAGAAAGAGGGGAACAAAGGATATGAGAAGATCTTGTAGGAGGGGTGTGTGCAAAGCGGATCACAGCACAGCACTGCAGAGCCACAGAGCAGAGCTGCGCAGAGAACAGCCCCACACAACAGAGCACATGACAGCGGTGTGCCTCACCTTGTGACCCCCGTCTGCAGCCACACCCGCTCGCCACAGCAGCAGCTGTGGCGGGCTATTCTGGACGCACCTGCAGAACGGAGTGTGGGGGCGTGAAGGGGGGAAACAAGGGAAGGATTTGGGGGTAAATAGGATCGAGGGTATGGGGGAGACAAGTGGAGGCAGAGATGGGGTGGGGCGGAGAGGGGGTGGGGTGGAGATGGGTGGGGCGGAATGGGGGGATTTTGAGGGGTGGAGTGGAATGGGGTGAGGAGGAGATGGGGTGAGAAGGAGATGGGGTGAGGCATCTGATGGGGTGTGGAGGAGATGGGGTGAGGAGGAGATGGGGTGAGAAGGAGATGGGGTGTGGAGGAGATGGGGTGAGGAGGAGATGGGGTGAGAAGGAGATGGGGTGTGGAGGAGATGGGGTGAGGAGGAGATGGGGTGTGGAGTAGTTGGAGTGTGGAGGAGATGGAGTGTGGAGGAGATGGGGTGAGGAGGAGATGGGGTGAGGAGGAGATGGGGTGAGGAGGAGATGGGGTGAGAAGGAGATGGGGTGAGGCATCTGATGGGGTGTGGAAGAGATGGGGTGAGGAGGAGATGGGGTGAGAAGGAGATGGGGTGTGGAGGAGATGGGGTGAGGAGGAGATGGGGTGTGGAGGAGTTGGAGTGTGGAGGAGATGGAGTGTGGAGGAGATGGGGTGAGGAGGAGATGGGGTGAGGAGGAGATGGGGTGTGGAGGAGATGGGGTGTGACGGAAATGGGGTGAGGAGGAGATGGTGTGAGGAGGAGATGGGAGGAGGAGGGCTTTGGGTGTGGAGGAGGAGGGGTGAGGAGGAGATGATGTGAGGAGGATATGGGGTGTGGAGGAGATGGGGTGTGACAGAAATGGGGTGAGGAGGAGGAGGGGTGAGGAGGAGATGGGGTGGGGATGGGGAGTTGAGGGATGGGGAGGGAAGGGATGGGGAGGCGGGGATGGGGTGAGGTAGAATGGGGTGAGGCGGTATGGGGTGAGGCGGTATGGGGTGAGGCAGAATGGGGGAGGCGGTATGGGGTGAAGCGGTATGGGGTGAGGCGGTATGGGGTGAGGCGGTATGGGGTGAGGCGGAGTGGGGGAGGCGGTATGGGGTGAGGCGGAGATGGTGGCTCTCAAGATGTCGCTGCGCCCCCGACTCAGCGGTGTTGCGGGTCGCACGCCAACAATCTTCTGCGGTGTTGGGGAGGGGAGGGATGGGGAGGGGAGGGATGGGGAGGGGAGGGATGGGGAGGTGAGGGATGGGGAGGTGAGGGATGGGGAGGTGAGGGATGGGGAGGTGAGGGATGGGGAGGTGAGGGATGGGGAGGTGAGGGATGGGGAGGTGAGGGATGGGGAGGTGAGGGATGGGGAGGTGAGGGATGGGGAGGTGAGGGATGGCGATGCACATTGGAATTTCTCCTCTGCCTTGCTGTACGCTGCATGCGCTGGATGGGGAGGTGAGGAAATACGAATGGCATGGTAGCTCTGGGCCGTCTCACCTCGTGCAGGGAGGGCGGGAAGGCTCGGGCAGGGGGTGGGCGTGATGGAAAAAAAAACAATGGAAGGGGAGCTCACTTGCAAAACAGAGTAGCTTTGATGACGGGTAGGCTGGAAACTTGGCTGGAAAAGCTCAACAGAGCTGCTGGACTTGGCTTGATGAGAGAAAACTTCACTATGATCAAGATTAACAAGCCCACTAAAGCACAACTTCTTAAGCATTACAAACATGCAGATTGATAGCTCAAACTAGGCTGCTAGACAAGGCAACTTCCTTGGGAACTTGGGCACAATTCAGATTCCATGAACCTTGAGTGACTTGAGAGCCATATGAGGTGCATGAATAATAAATCTCTGGAATGTACTGTTATAGCTGATTCTGTTTTGTAGAAACCTGTAGAAACTGTCGACCATTCTGTTTGAGAGCAATCCCGAACTGTATCGAGTCTTCGGCTGCAATCTGATTTGCTGCGGAAGTTTCTGAATTTTCGCGAAGCCTTCAATCCGTCGCCGACATTCTTGCTGCTCCTTGTGTGCAAAGGGCTGGGGCGGCAGAGACTCGATTCTCCAACACCCCCCCTCGCACCAGACCCGAAGCACACATACGCCCATTCTTACTCTCCTCTTACATCTCCTTGGCATACACTCCATGCTGCTGCCCATGTTGCTTCTCCTCATTCTCCTCAAACTGCTGCACTGCTTCATGAAGTGTCATGAGACCTGCTCTTGCCTTGCACATGTTGAATGCATCATGTGGAAGAACCTTAGTCATGAAATCTGCCGCTTGGTCGAATGAACGGCAAAAGTTGACGGCGAGAACTCCCTTCTCTAGTTGCTCACGAATGAAATGGTACTGCACCTCGATGTGTTTTGTACGCCCATGATGAACCGGATTCTTGGAGAGGGCGATAGCTGAAGTGTTGTCCACGTAGAGCGGAGTTGGTTGAGTTTGCGGCTGCCTCAAGTCCTCCAAGAGTCCACGTAACCAAATTGCCTCCCTTGCTCCTTCGGTCATTGCTATGTACTCAGCTTCGGTTGTAGAAAGCGCCACACAACTTTGCTTGCGCGATTGCCAAGAAACAGCGGCACTGCACCTAAGGAAGATATAGCCACCGGTGGACTTGCGTGTGCTCAAATCTCCCGCCCAATCTGCATCGGTAAAGCCTTGGAGGGAGCTTGCATGTGGGCTGGCTTGGAAGAGAAGACCATGATTAGAAGTACCTTTGAGATACCGAAGAGCTCGCTTGGCTGCATGCATATGAATAGGTGATGGGGCACTCATGTGTTGAGCGAGCTTGGATACCGTGAATGCTAGGTCGGGCCTTGTGCATAGGGCTGCATACATGAGACACCCAACCTGACTTTGGTAGAGAGCTAGGTCTTGTGGGGATACCTTGGGTGAATTCTCACCATGATGCTCACTCTCCTCAAGACACAACTCCTCAATACCCGTGATATCCAGGCTTGACTCTCTCTCCTCAAAGGGCTGATGTGAAGACAAAGGGACAAAGTTGGTAGGAAGTGGGGTAGGTAATGGCTTGCTATCATCAAGACCAAACCTCTCAAGGACCTTTTGGATGTACCTTTGCTGGAATAGGAAGATGGACCGTGACTTATGATCTCTCACAATGTTCATACCAAGATAATGACTCGGCTCACCAAGATCGGTCATTGTGAATGCACTCATGAGAATACCTTTCACCTTGTTGAGGAGATCAAGAGAACCTGAGACTAGGAGGAGATCATCGACATATACCAAAAGCCAAATGTACTCCCCCTCACTCGTGTGCATGAAGTACAACGCGTTGTCTCTCATGGACCTTGTGAAACCGTGCTTGAAGAGTACCTTCTCAAGAGCATGATACCATACCCGTGGGGACTGTTTGAGTCCATAAAGGGACTTTACCAAGCGACAAACTCGACCCGTACCATCATCATAACCTTCGGGTTGTGCCATGTATACCTCTTCTTCCAAGACACCGTAGAGAAATGCGTTCTTGACATCCATTTGATGGATATGGAGACCAAGATATGCGGCTATGGCGAGGAGGACTCGTACCGTGGTGTACTTCGCTACTGCGGCAAAGGTTTCGGTGAAGTCTAGACCTGGAATTTGGGAATAACCTTTTGCCACTAACCTTGCCTTGTACCTATCAAGTGTACCATCACCTTTTACCTTAATCTTGTACACCCACTTGACACCAATTACCTTCTTCCCTGGAGGTGGCTCAACAAGACGCCATGTACCTCTCTTCATGAGACTCTCAATCTCTTCTTCCTCGGCCTTCAACCATTGCTCTCTCTCGGGACTTGCCACTGCCTCACGACGACTCAATGGCTCTCGTGGAAGGTGTGACGCTGCCATGCATATTGCCTCTACCTTCTTGTGAATGCAATCCTCGCTCTCCTCACATGTGCACCTTGATGACATGTCAACCATGAATGTGAAGGGCTTTTTTACCTTGCGGACTCGTTTACCTTTACCCAAAGCCTCACTTGGCTGAGACAAATCAATGGTAGGGTTTGGTCTCACAGTGGTTGGATGCGTTGACACGGTCATCTGCGGCTGAGACAATGGCTGCGACATCGGCTGCGACGGCGGCACGACTGCATGATCTTCTCCCGGCGTGGAACTCTCTCGATTATCGGTGTTGACTTGAGGAATAGGTGTGGTGACTTGTGTCGGTGAAGCTGAAATGTTCGTCGGCATAGTTGGCTGTGAAGATTCTCTTGGTGGGGATCTTGAGACTAGAAGCTTGGGAATTGATGATGACGCTGCGTTGTCGAAAGTTGGAGACAGTTCGGTCTGATTGACGCTGTTTCTCGGTGTTGAAGATGGCGGTAACTGATGACGGCCGATTCCGGGACGTGGGGGTGAAGTTGAGAAAGGTCTTGGGTGAAGAAGTGGGCTGTTGGAGCTGGTGTTGGTGGTGATTCGCTGAAGTGATCCTCGTGCTATGAGCTGGCTTGACGTTGGAACCTGAAGTGATGAACGTGTGTGAGAACGAGATGTTGCGGTAATGGTTGTCTTGTTGGTAGGAAGAATTGTAGATGGTGCTGATGTAGGTACTTGGAGTCTTGTAGCTGTAGGTTGCTGCTGCATTGGATGATGGTGAGCTTCTGTAGTTGCCTCTGAATTGACGGCTGGTGATGGGTTTGATGGTGTAGTGGTGGGCTGATCCGGGTGACGTTGAACTTGCGGGGTTGGTGTTGAAGTAGCTGGCTAGTTGGTGACGGTTGGCTGCTGCTCCTTTGGCGGTGATGTAACGGTGACTTCTTGGGGTGGATTGTCTTCATTTGATGGCTGAACCACATCTCCACTTGGTTGAGTAGCTGCTGGTGGCACTGGTGTGGCGCAGCTGGTCTCGTTGACGACGGCTTGCGGGAGATCGATGATGGGTCCGCTATGGTCAGAATTGGTGTCATCTCCGTCCTCCTCTTCTGTTGTTTCCTCAGGTGCTCTTGCTGGTTCCTGTTGGAGAGAGGGTGGTAGAGAGGAGGAAGAGGAAAACTTGTGCCAATCTGCAAGGGACATGTCTTCATAGAAGACCACATCCCTTGAAACCACTTCTCGCTTGGTGACGGGATCCCAAAGGACCCATCCCTTGCTCTCGTTGCTCATGCCGATGAAGAGGCCCCAATGAGCTCTGCTGTCCAGCTTGACTCTCTTTGCATCTGGAACACGGTATTGGGTCATGGAACCAAAAACACGAAGCATAGACAGATCTGGTTTAACTCCAAACCAAGCCTCATATGGCGTTACACCATCCGGTAGGGGCCTTGTGGGTCTCCTGTTGCGAACATAGATTGCCATAGTGATTGCCTCACCCCACCAGAGCTTGTCAAGGCCCTTAAACTGAAGAAAAGTGGTAGCTATTGCTTGAATAGTGCGATGAAACCTCTCTGCAACTCCATTTTGCTGAGGACTATAGGGACAAGTGAACTGTTGTTTGATGCCCAATGCCAACAACTCCCCCTGAAATGCTTTTCCCATGTACTCACCTCCTCGGTCCGACCTCAAGGTGAGTAACTTCTTCCCTGACTCTCTCTCAACAAGTGCTAGCCATTGCTTGAAACACTTGTGAACTTCATCCTTGGTGTTGATGAAAAATGACCACGAGAAACGACTCTTGTCATCAATGAAAGACACCAAATATCTCTTACCGTTTCGAGTAGGGTCTCGCATGGGGCCAAATACATCAGTGTGGACCAACTCTAGGAGGTCCCTTGACTGAGACTTAGAAGGGAAAAATGGCTTTCTAGGTAGCTTACCCTCAACACAAGATGGACATGGAACGGAAGAAAGGGACTTGACTGCAATTTCACTCAAACTCAATCCTTCCACGCTCTTGTGATTCACCAACTCTTTCAATGCTTGCATTCCCAAGTGCCCCAAGCGTGCATGCCATACCTCAGCTTGGGAGATACTCCCTTTGTTGGTTGAAACAGCGGGAAGCGAGACAACGTCGTTCTTCGTATTGTTAGAACCGCGCTTGATCTCCAACTTCAACTTGTAGAGCCGCCCGGTACGCTCGCCTTCAGCCACCAAATTTCCTGCCCTGTCCCACACTTTGGCTTTCCCCCCTTGCAATAGTACAGAGGCACCTTTCTCTTCAAGTTGTCCAGCTGAGAGCAAGTTTGCTCCCAAATCAGGAACAAACAAAGCTTTATTGACACAAAATGACTTACCATCCTTTTCGAACTCAAGCTTGCCGACTCCTTTGATAGGTACTTTGCCAAGATCAGCAAGTGTCACAGATTTTGAGTCATATGAGGGCTAAAAATCCTTGAGAATGGACTGATAGGGAGTCATGGTTTCAGAACAGCCACTATCAAGGATAAACTCCTCACTACTAGTAGAAAAAACGTGCATGCAAATGGCGGCGTTGAAAAGGACAGGACCTTCAGAATCTTTGGACTCATTTTGACTTGTAGAATGACTTGCCATGTTTGCTATGGCTGCCTTACCCTTCTCGGATAGTAGCTGAGGTGGGGGAACCCAATTAGGAGGCTTCTTAGGACAAGCATACCACGGATGACCCCACTCATGACAACAAAAACACTCGAAATTAAACTTTTTAGCATTTGAGGCTTGGCTGAAATTATTGACTCTCGGCGTATAGACTCTGTGAAGAAGTGAACGAGAGAATGTGTGAACTATGAACGAAGTGAGTACAAATAGGAAACCCTAGCTGGGTTGTACCCCCTATGGGATACCCCACTATAGCCTACACAAATAAGTAAGCTATAATGTTCTGACACACCCCCATAGGCAAAGTGGGGGAGAACAAGGGGTCACAAGACCAGTCAAGCAAAGCAAAGCAAAGCTCAGGGTGGATCACAAAGTCACCACACATTCCGAGCACAAGTTCAAGGGCCAGAAGGCCAGTTCACATGCAAGATCATATATATAGAGATATACAAGAGTCAAGCAAGCAAGAGCAAGACTAAATATATGTGACGGTACAAGGAAGGTCAAGAAGTGAGCAAGTGAGGCAAGACAGACACAAGACCCAGCTGCGTGCAGCAACGCTGATGATCACAAGGCGCAAGTGCCTTGGTGAACACATCAGCAGTGTTGGCCTCAGAGGCCACGTACGCAAGTCGCAACTGTCCACGCTGCTGTAGCTCACGAGCAAGAAAGTAGCGGAGAGCAATGTGCTTTGTCCGGTGCTCCAGTCTCTGCTCTCGACACAAGGCCAGCATGGCCTTGTTGTCTACGTACAGGACTGGAGGAGAACGAGGCTGCTCTCCAAGGTCGGTCAGCAGGTA